TTTTCAGATATAAAAAAGCTGAATTAACTGCCATTTGAGCCATAATGATAGGACAGAAAAACACTAAAAAAAGCATGATGGGAATTGGTCGTGGTTGAAGCATGAAAATTTGGGAAGGAGTGAAGAACGCTGCTCCTTCCTGCCTCCTGTAAGGATAAGTGGGCCGCAGACACCCAGGTGCATTAGCACGTCCAGTCACACTGCTGTAAGTGGCACCTACACTGTGTGTTCTTCAAAGGTGTGGAAGGAAGATATGCGACACAGGAGCACCGACTGGGAAGGCCAACTACCGCTTCCTCTGTAGTTACTGCACTCTTTGGGAAGTAGCTAAGGCACTAAAAGGTTGTCCTAAACCAACCTTTGTGCATATGGTAATTGCCTGGCCAGCGGCGATACAAAAGATGCCACTAATGAGAGGTAATGGAGAATAAAAAAAAAGAGAATTCATTAGTCTTTCAGGAAGTATGAGTAAAGGAATAAACACATATGGGGCCCACAAAACTGATTTCCAGAAAGTAGACTTAAAATCAACATGTGTACAATCATCTTCAATGTAAGTGGACCAGTACTCTAATTAGAAGGCAAAGACTGGAAGGCTAGGTGAAGAAACGGCGGCCCAGTTACAGGGTGTGTACCCCTTTCAGTACCCAAGAGAACACGTTTACATCATTAAGGATACAGGGTATTTGAGCGATATGATTGGTTGTCTTGACCTGTCATTTATACAGCACCGTTGCAAATGATAAAATCGCATTCTTCTCAAAGGCACACAGAACATTTTTCAAATATATCATATGACAAGCAAGCCGTAATGCAAGTCTTCACACATTTCAAAGGACTGGCATCGCGGAGAAAGCGTTCTCTCACCAGTACTCAGCCAGGTGACACGGAGGCCGAGCCTCCACCCCAGCCGGGCCTTCTGTGAGCGCAGCCCGGCTGGCAGCTTGAGCAGAAGCAGCAGCTACGCTGCCCCCAACCTGCGACCCTCAAGCACCGGGTGAGGAATATCTGTTGTCCTGCCTGACACATTTTGGGACTGATATATTTTCCAGCTTCTTGCTTTGGGAGTTTAAAGCTCTGACCACACACACGGGTTTAAAATGATAAATTTCTCTCTAAACACCAAATTCTAAGAAAGCAGAAGAAAGGAAATGTAAAGACAAATCAGTGAAGTAGAAAACATACACAATAAACTCAATGAAGCCAAAAATTGGTATTTTTAAAAAAAGACTAAAAACATACAGACAGGGGCTGGTGAGATGGCTCAGTGGTCTAAAGCACCTACTTAGAACAAGCTTAGCAAAAC